AGTTGCTAGGTTTAAATTGTCATAGTTAAACAATGACTACCTAGAATATGGGCCGGTGTGTTGCCTGTGTTCCCTGGTGTGCAAGAATTAACAATGATCTTGTGTGCAGTGTTGCTGTGCGGAAGTGTCATCGTGCTTCCATTAATTGGGGCATCAAATAACTTCACTTCCTGTTTGCTAATTAAACAAACCATCATGTGGTTTGTGATGTGACTTCTGTGGTCTCCATGAACTCCACTGTGATGACCTGGGGCATGGCCCAAAGGCAACACAGCCAGAGAATAAGAATGAGTTCCTTTATTAGCTCCTACTTTGCCCCCAATGACCCAGTTACTTTCCAGTCTGGAGAAAAACTCTCCCACGAACCTGCAACAGCCTTTGTCTGCAGATATTCCAGTCTAAACGTTGTAAACTGAAAACTTTAAACTATAAATCCAACAAGACAAAATAAGGTAATAAATCTGGCAGAGCAAGATAGGAGTTCCAGAAATGAAGTAACAAGGCAGTAAATCAAACCAGTTTGGGAAGATGTCAGAACTCAGATAACAGCAGCCAACGCTAGATGAACTCAACATTTGTTCCCGACAACCGTCCCTCCCAACTGCCTCTCCTTTAAACTCCCTTCCCAGATATGCCTTGTGAAGGGAATCAGGGCCCTCTCCTCCCTCATAAGCCACACAACCCACGTTGCTCTCTTCTCCGTTCTTCCCTGCACAGCTTAGGATGAAGAGGTCTTGGTCTTCCTCTGAACCCCCTCTCCCTTGTTCTACCACTCCCCTCTGCCCAGCCGGACTTTGCCCTTCCCCAGTTTCCTCACACAGCCAATGGAGTTATTCTCCTGCTCCCTTACATCTGTTCGTCTTCCTCCTCAGATTCAGGCTTCGACGAGGGCATGACATCCACTTGTCCCAAGCCAATTTGGGACTATCTGTAGCTTGCTCCAGTTCAGTGGTCTGGAAGACAGTTATCATGTCTCTCTGGTCCTTCTCTTTGATACGGTCGACATACCTCATTCCCTCAACCTTTCATCATACAATTGAGTGTCCAGTCCTCTAATGATCTTTGTTGCTCTTCTCTGCACTCTTTCTAGAGTCTCAGCATCTTTTTTTGTATCATGGTGACCGGAACGGTGCACAACATTTCAAAGGTGGCTTCACTAGTGCAGTATAAAGTGGTATTATCACGTTTGATGTTCATCCCAAAAATGCTTTTTTCAAGAGGCAACTGTACTTCCTTGTTTTTTTCCTTGAAGATGTTTCACTTCTCATTCAAGGAGCTTCTTCAGTTCCTCTTCTCCAGAATGGAAGAAGCTTCTTGGATGAGAAGTAAAACATTTTCAAAGGAATATCCATGGAGATTCTCCATCCTCCAGGTCATGGTTTGTCCCAAAGGTGCTTTTTTTCAGGAGGAACCTGGACTTTCTTAGTTTTTCTTTGAAGATATTTCGCTTTTCATCCAAGAAGTGTCTTCAGCTCTGAACTCCGAATATGCTGAAAAAGCTTCTTGGGTGAGAAGCGAAACCTCTTCAAAGATAAACCAGAAAATCCAGTTGCCTCTTGAAAAAAGCACCTTGGGACAACCAGGACCTGGAGGACTGAGAATCTCCATAGACACTTCTGATGATCTTGATGTCTATGAGGTTGTGCACGCATGCAGCTGAGGAATAATCAATGCATGGATTCATCGGAATAGAGCTGGGGGGGACCTTGAAGGTCATCTAGTCCAACCCCCTGCTCAAGCAGGAGACCTTGTGCCATTGGAGACGGGTGGCTGTCCAGTCTTTTCTTTAAAACCTCCAGCGATGGAGCACCCACAACCTGTGAAGGAAAGCTATTCCATTCATTGATTGCTCTCACTGTTAGGAAATTTCTCCTTAGTCCCTAAGTTGCTTCTCTCCTTGGTTAGTTTCCATCTGTTGCTTCTTGCCCTGCTTTCAAGAGCTTTGGAAAATAGGTTGGCCCCCTCTACTTTGGGGCAGCCCCTCAAACATTGGAACACAGCTATCATTGTCTCCCTAGTCCACAGAGTTTAGACTTTGACTCATGATGTTGAATTTTTAGAATATACAGTATAATAATAGAGCTGGAGGGCCCTTGGAGGTCTCCTAGTCCAACCCCTTTGCTCAAGGGGATCCTATACTATTCCAGACAAGTGGCTGTCCAGTCTCTTCTTAAAAGCCTCCAGTAATGAAGCAGCCACCACTTCTGGAGGCCACTTCTGTTTCACTGGTTAATTGTCCTCACTGTTAAGGAAGTTTCTCCTTAAATGAATTCCTTGATTCATTCCTTGTACAATTCTTGGATTCTATCTGCAGGGTTTTTAAAAATCCAGTTACCCATATTATTGAAATAATACGCTTGGGCAAGCGTTACGCTTCCTGACATGTTAAATTACAAGTCACAGGACTCGCATCTCGTCAGATTAATGTTTCTTTCTTTGGAACCAACAAAGGCATTTGGAGAAGCAGCTGTTCTTGGAAAGCTATCAACTTGAAACTTCTGGGATGCTGAATTGCACAGGGAAAGCTTGCAAGCAACAGGCTTTTATTGTGATAAATAATAATTATCCAGGACTTGGCTAAGGTTTGAAGTGGTTTTTCAGCCCTTGTTTGTATAAGAGTGCAGATGCTATGCGTCTTGGCTTCATAAGGTGTCTTACAAAGAGACTGCCTAGCAGCCTCTCTTGTGTGTGTGTGTGTGTATGTCTCTGTGGGTGTGTGGGTGTGTGTGATACTTATGCCTAAACAGAACTGAATAGATCAAGTAGCATGCATTTTGCTTGGGGAACACACATGGCATTGATAACAATGAAAGGTAAGGCTTTCCTCTGTCCAGTTGTGTCCCCCTCTGTGGCATGGTGCTTATCTCCGTTTCTTGGCCGAGGAAGGCAGCATTGTCCAAAAACATTTTCTGTGGTCATGTGTTCAGCATGATTATACCCCAAAGGCGCACGAAATGCTGTTGCCTTCCCACTGAAGTGGTACCTATTTATCTGCTTGCATTGTCATGCTTTTGAGCTGCTAGGCGGGCAGGAGCTGGAGCAAGGAACAGGAGCTCACCCCTTTGTGCGATGCTCAGGTCTTGAACCCGATCTGTGAGCCGGAAAGCTGATAACGCTCAGCGTCTTTAACGGCCGAGCCATCGCGCCCCCATACAATGACCGATAGCTTGACCCTTTCTGAGAACCTGGTCATAAATTTCCATTTAAGGACTAAAGCTGGAGTAGCCGTCCACATAAAGATGTCACCACGATACGAAGAAGATGCCGAGGCCCGAGAAAGAATGCGCAGAAGAGGAATAAAAATGTTCAGGGAATTGGAAGCTAAACTGTATGATGAATGCCCAAGGGAGCAACAATCCTCGACTTATGACTGGAATTGAGACTGGAATTACGATTCTGAGTCATTACAGTCGTAAGTTGAAGCATCGTGTGACCGAATCTGATTTTTCGCGCTGGTCATTTATGCGAATGCCATGCTTGTTAAGCAAATCCGTTTTCCCCAATAGTCATATTTTTGCCAGAAATTGGAAGCCAGTGACAGAAACTGGTAAAAAACATTGCAAACTGTGACCATGTGACCTCAAGACGGTGCAAACGGCCATAAAGGGTGTGTATGCAGGTGTGTATGTATGTGCATTTAGGAGAAAGAGAGGCAGTGTTAGGGTTCCGACGATTGCTCTAATTAAATCAGTGGTGGCTAACCTTTTTGGGCTCCTGTGCCAAAAATTGTGCACGCGCTTGCATGTTCGCACTCACGCTCAGCACCCAGAAAGCAATGCGTGCCCCGCCCCACGCCCCCTATGCATATGTGCACATTTTTCAGCCAGTTTGAGGCCTTTTTCAGCCTCCCAAAAGCTTGAGGAAGGCTTCTGCAGGCTTCTCCAAGCTTTGTAGGCCAAAAATTAGCCCCGTTTTGTCACTTCCTGTTTTTCCAAAAATACCGGAAGTGACAAAACGGGGCTAGTTTTCGGCCTACAAAACTTGCAGAAGCCTGCAGAAGCCTTCCTCAAGCCTTTGGGAGGCCGAAAAAGGCCTCAAACCAGGTGAAAATCAGCTGTAATTGTGTCCACATGCGCAGTGAGGTAAGTTTGCTTGCAGCTCGCGTGCCGGCACAAATGGCTCTGCGTGCCATCTCTGGCACGCGTGCCATAGGTTCTCCATCACGGAATTAAATCACGAGCCTCGAGTCAAGCTTCAAAGGAATCCAGAAGATTTATTAGGAGCAACATGTCCGGCACTAACCCATATGAAGCCGACTCTAAGACACGTAATTTACTATTACCTATGACCCTGGGTGTTGTTATAAATCAGATTCTCCAACAAAACACATTCACGGACTGGGTATCATCAATCACATTCTCCAATGAAAGATTTTCCTGGGCAGAAGATCCGGTAGCCTAGGCTACAATCTCCACAAGATAAGTGTGGAATGTGCTTCTGGCCTTCATCTGCCGCACTGCTCCCTCAGGCCTTCCCCCCCCTTCTTCTTATGGCAGCTTGGAAACAGGCATAGGAATGATTTACGAGTTGACAGGCAGAGCTTGGAGGTGGAGTCAAAAGGGGAATCAACCTGAAGTCATTGCATTGTCACAAGCAGTCAAAGTCCAACCCTTCTTCAATTCCATTAACTCTTTATCGCCAGTTTAGACTGACAGTTAATGGATTAGATTCTTGTATATAGACAGGAGCAATAAATCAGCTTAATTGGAACTTAATATGTGGTCCTCATTCTCTTGATTTGTGTGTGTTTGTGCAATCATCTTAACTTGGAAAACGGGTTGTAAATAGCTCTGGGAAGGTCCACCATAACTTTGAACAGTTGTTAAGCGACTAATCGTAAGTTGAGAACTATGTGTAAATTGGTGAAGGTTGAAAGCAAATCCTTCCCTATGAATGGACATTTGGTGAAGATAGATTTTGTGACCTTGAAGGAAATAATGTTCTCAGGAACCTATGTATGTTTTTTTTTTTAATTTATATTTATTCCTTTCTCCTAGTATGCAAGTTCAAGGCTCACAAAAGATGTGCCGTTCGGGCAATAAATAATTGCAAATGGACAACGTTGACCTCAATTGGAAGAGATATCATTGAGGATGAAGATGGTGTAAGTCTTTGCAACACACAGTAAATCCTATTTTTCAGTTTTTGTTGAAAAACAATTGCCCGTAATAGCCATTAGGCAGGGTGAATTTTAGCTCGCTGTGGGTCCTGTCTAACAAACATGTTTTTAGCACATGATGTCCTGTTGAATTAGGTATGTAACTTTACCACCAAGAAAACCTTGGATTATTTTCAATTAGGCCCAGGGGAGCTACAGATTTGTTTCCAGCAGGGTTGGAGATGTCTACAATAGTTTCATTCCCAGCTGCAGAGAATGGCCAGATTTTAGGACTGATACTCCATCTGGTCTTGCAGTAGTGAAGAAAGAACATTAGTGGCCAAGGATTGAGAATGAGCAGCTGTATAATGCCACCAATGAAATGTTGAGGGTATCTGTTCAGCTTCTGAATAAATACAGTAGCTCTCCTTCCAACCATCCTTGGTATCATCCTCATCTTCAATTTCATTCTCAACCACAACCTTAACTTCATCTCATCCTCATCTATATTCCTCATCTTCAACCTATCTCAACTGCATCCTCACCTTCAACCTCAGTCTCACTCTCATCCTCACCTTCATTCTCATTCTCAACCTCAACTTGAACCTCAACTTCATCCTTACCCTCAACCTCGATATCATTTTCATCCTTATCCCCACCCTCAATCTCAGTTTCAACCTCAGTCTCCTCAACTTCAACTTCAACTTCATCCTCACCCTCAACCTCATCCTCATTTTCATTCTCATCCTCGACATCAACCTCATCTTTACCCTCAACCTCAATATCGTTTTCATGCTCACCCTCAGTCTCAACCTCAACCTTATCCTCAACTTGAACCTCATCCTCATCCTCAACATCATTTTCATTCTAACCCTCATCCTCAACCTCAACCTCAACCTCATCTTCATTGTCACCCTCAATCTCAACCTCAACATCCTCATCCTTAATCTCATCCTCATCCTTACCTTCAGCCTCAACCTCAACCTCATCCTCAATGTCATCCTTGTCCTCACCCTCATCCTCACCTTCAACCTCAACTTCAACCTAAGTCTCAACCTTGTCCTCATCCTCATCCTTGTCCTCATTGTGATCCTCATCTTTATCAATTTGTACCCCACATTCTTTTTTATAAAGCTCAAGGCTGAGTGCATGATAAAGGAAAAACATGGGAATAAGGCCCTTTGTGAGTGGATCTCTTCGGGTCAGAGTTGACCCTCTAGTGTTGATGAGATTGAAATCAAAAGGGATGGAAGCTAAACTTCCTTCTTTCTCCTCCCCATTGACTCCCAATAAACCTCCACTCTAGGTAGCCATGCCTCATCAGTGGTTAGAAGGCAATCTTTCGGTCAGTGCCAAATGTGCAGTGTGTGACAAAACGTGTGGCAGTGTTCTCCGCCTGCAAGATTGGAAGTGCCTGTGGTGTAAGACCATGGTAAGTCTGGGCGGTGGTTGAGATTGCCCTTTGGTGAAGATGTTCTCCTGGATTGGGACAAGGGAGTTGACCAAACAGCATGGACTTCTGCAGCAGAGGTGGGATTCAGCAGGTTCTGACCAGTTCTGGAGAACCGGTAGTGGAAATTTTGAGTAGTTTGGAGAACTGGCAAATCCCACCTCTGACTGGAGACCTTAGAGTCTCCTTTCCCTGCCATGCCCACCAGAACTGGTAGTAAAAAAATTTGAATCCCACCACTGGTCTGCAGGGCATTGGTGGTGATAAAAGAGTCACAATGACGGTTGTGGTTGTGTGCTTGAACCTTTTTATGGGTGCCACAGCACACACACAAACAGGAATGGGACTCCAGCAGGCTTGTTTGTGACTGTGGTGTCTTTGGGGCTTGTGGTTTTCTCGCAGACGTTTCATTACCCCCCTAGGTAACGTCATCAGTGTTGGGGGAGTATCATCGTGATTGCTTTCACTCACTGTCTACACAGAGTGTAGATTTGTCTAAAGCTCTCCATTTCCTAAAAATACATTGCATTATCCATCGTAACGCTGTTTCTATTAATGGTGCAGAGGGGGAGCTTAATTGAAATATGCATGTTGCCCGATCTCATTGAGGGTTCATTGACTAGGGTCCTACTACTTACGGCTTAAGTTACCGCAACTTAAAAGGCACAGGTAGTCCTCGTCTTATGACAACAGTTGAGCGTGACATTTCCGTGGCTAAGCGCGATTGTGGTTAAATGAATGTTGCCTCATTTTACAAACTTTCTTGCTGCCGTTGTTAAGGTAGTAACACAGTTCTTAAATGAATCCAGCTTCCCCATGGACTTTGCTTGTCAGAAGGTCGCAAAAGGGGATCACGTGACCCCAGGACACTGCAACTGTCATAAGTACATGCCAGTTGCCAAGCCTCTGAATTTTGATCATGTGATTGGATATTGGAACAGTCCTAAGTGTGAAAAATGGTCATGTCACTTTTTCATGCTCTGGTAACTTTGAACAGTCACTAAATGAGTGGCTATAAGTCAAAGCTATGTTTATTGATTTGTGAAGATCTCCCTCATCAGAATTAATCTGATCAACTGACTCTTTTTTCATTTTTTTGTCAGAATTTTTTTATTTTTAATACAATCGTTCCATCTTCAGTTGAACAGTGTGTTGCCTGGGTACAAGCATCTTGGTTAAACAGTAATCAAAGTTATAACATCCTTCATGACATCTTAATTCTGCGATATTTAACATAGTTATGTCCACCTATCCATTATACCAATCAATTATACAATATTAACATAGTAATATTCAACAAGTTGGCCATCATATTAACTTATCACTTTTCACACATCATCTTTATTTTGTTTCCCTATTTCTAGCTTCCTTTTTTATTATTTAACCATTGATACAATAAATCCCATACCATATAGCAATGGTGGCTAATCTTTTTGGGCTCCTGTGCCAAAAATTGTGAGATCCCCCATGCCGCCCCCTTACCTGCACTTACCTGCACTGTGCCTCCCACCTGATTTCAGCCTGTTTGAGGCCTTTTTCGGCCTTCCAGAGTCTTGAGGAAGCCTTTGCAGGCTGAAAAATGGGCCTATTTCATCACTTCTGGTATTTCCAGAAATACAGGAAGTGACGAAACGGGCCTATTTTTCGGCCTGCAAAAGCTTTCCTCAAGCCTCTGGGAGGCCGAAAATCAGCTGTGAGGTGCGCGCATGCACAGTGAGATAAGTTTGCCTGCGGCTCGCATGCCAGCACAAATGCCATAGGTTCGCCATCATGGCCATATAGTATTCAGTTTGCTCTTTCTCCTTAATTGTCAATGTTCATCTATTCATTTCCGCACATTCTAATATTTTCCTAATCACACCCTCTTCTGTAGGTATCTCTTCATTCTTCCAATTTTGTGCAAATACAATTCTGGCCGCAGTCAATATATGAATAACTAAATATGCATTTTCCTTAAACTGTATTCTTTGGGTAGAATCCCCCATAGAAATATTTCAACTGACTCTTATATGGTTAATCCCTCAGCTGTTTTCCTGTGTTTTTTTGAAGAACTGTTTATTAAATGCTTTTAATAAAGAAAATGGCAAAAGAAAGTCTGGACGAACCTTTAGATGTTATAATAAACTGTTTATTTAGAACTTGGAGGCGAGCTATTTGCCAGAGCTGTTGCTTCGTAGCCTGTCAGCTGTCTGATTTCCTTTTAAGCTTCTGTGCCATTCCTCCCCATTAACCCAATTACTTTAATCTGGTTTAATTTAATTTAATTTGATTCCATATTGGCTTCATTTATCATTTTTAAGCATGTTTTTCTCCCTGGACCAGACCAAACAGCTTACCTAATTAAAAGCAATCAGGCACTGAAGTCTAAACAAATGGATCTGCAACCTAAAATTTGTTTTTAACATGACTTCTGTTTTCTACTTTGTATCCTTTTATTACTTTTGGAACATCAAAAATAGACAAGATAAGTAGCTGTCTCCTATACGCATTTATTGAATTATGGGCAAACAGTGCATTTCTAATTGCTAATGGATTTTTTTTTAAGATTTAAGTTTTGATTGCTACGTTAAAATTGGCTTTACATATATATTGTCTTTTATACTTCTACGATAAGTCAAAATATATAAACTTAGCAAGAATTTTTTTTTGTAATTTTTTAAAATTTTATTTAAAGTACATACAATTCATCTTCCATTTAATGGTGTGTTGTCTGGATACAAAAATCTTGTGCAATATCAATTAAAATTTACTACCATGTTCATTATTTTGGTATTAATTCTCCATTCTTATTCTTATCTTATTAATATACACTATCTCTATTACTATAACACTCCTCTTCCTAACATGTTTAATTCTATAAACCTATATTTCACTAGTCTATTAGCTAGTTCTAGCTTTCAGATTTTTTCTCTAGCCATCACTAAAATAGTTCCCATACCTTATAATATTCACTCCTGCAAGTGTTAATCTATTCATTTCTGCACATTCCAATATTTTTCTAATCACATTTTCATCAGTAGGAATCTCTTTGCTTTTCCAATTTTGAGCAAATACAATTTTGGCTGCAGTTAATACATGAATAATCAAATATACTTTCTCTTTACTATAAGTTTCGGGTAAGATCCCCAACAGGAGTATTTCAGGTTTTAAGTCAATATGCTGTTGTATCATCTTTTCCAACCATATATGTATTTTTTCACTTGTACACATGTCCACCAACCAAGGTAACCAACCAAGATAACCTCAGCCCAGAATAACACACGCTTTGCTTCTGGCCATGTTGTGTTGTAATTGTCTCTCTTATATACTATTCTCCCCAGCTGCAACCAATGAGCGGGATCATGGCCGCTTCCTCTCTCGTAAGCCAAGTTGTTGCCTTCTCCATTCCTCCCTGCATCTCCTAGGATGCAGAGGGGATAGGCCTGGTTCTTCCTCTGACTGCCCAGCCGGCCTCTGCCCTTCCTCAGCTTCCTCCACAACCTCCGGTGCCACACCTCCACTCCCTGTTGGCTGTTCCTCCCCTCCCTCAGAGTCCGACTCTAACAAGGGCATGACACTCTCTGCACTTACCTGGGAACCAAAACGGGGCACTGCAATGATCGTTACAAGTGTGAAAAATGGTCCTAGACCCCCTTTTTTTCAGTGCTGTTGTGTTGCGTTGAGCAACCGGTCTGTTGTTTAGATCTTCAGGTTGATTG